AGGCAGTGACAGATTTTACCTTCTTGGGCTCCATGATCACTGCAGATGGGGACAGCAGCCACGAAATTAAAAGAAACCTACTTCTTGGGAGGAAAGCGATGACAAACCTAGACAGCATCTTAAAAAGCAGACATCACCTTGCCGACAAAGGTCCGCATAGACAAAGCTATGGTTTTTCCAGTAGCGATGTACGGAAGTGAGAGCTGGACCATAAAGAGGGCTGACTACCGAATAACTGATGCTTTTGAATTGTGGTGCTGAGGAGGCTCTTGAGAGTCCCCTGGACTGCAAGGAGAAAAAACCTATCAATTTTGAAGGAAATCAACCCTGAGTGCTCGCTGGAAGGACATATCCTGAAGCTGAGGCTCCATCTCATGAGAAGACTGGCCATCTCATGGTTCAAAATTGGGAAAGGAGTATGACAAGGCTGTATATTGTCCCCCTGCTTATTTAACTTCTATGCAGAATACATCATGTGAAAGGCTGGACTGGATGAATTCCAAGCCAGAATTAAGAGAAGACTTTGGCCATCTCATGAGAAGAGAAGACTCCCTGGAAAAGACTCTGATGTTGGGAAAGTGTGAAGGCAAGAGGAGAAGCCAACAACAGAGAACCAGATGGGTGGACAGTGTCATTGAAACTACCAGAATGAATTTGACCCAACTCCAGGAGGCAGTGGAAGACAGGAGGGCCTGGCATGCTCTGGTCCATGGGGTCACGAAGAGTCAGACACAACTTAACGACTAAATAACAACAACAAATGGTTCGATTTGCATATGCTGTTTATCCTGCATACTGCCTCACATATTTACATAAAAAGGTGATCTCCGGAAACACAAATAAAAATGCTCTGTGATGAAAACCAAGAGAAACAAATGGGTACTTTTAACACGTATACCATACATGGCTGATAAAACACATCCTATATGAAAAGTTCAGTGACAGGAGATCTGATTCACATGGGAATTCTGTGCACCTGCACAGTAAAGATGCTACAGAGCACATTTGGTCCACATGCAAGTCTGAAACCTAGATGCTTAAGAACCATGGGACCCCTGAATGTGCTGATTACCTGATCGATGTTGTCAAATTCCCATTCTCTGCCAGGTGATGGTGCTGATGTCAAAAACTGAGAAAGCCAATCCTCCAGAACAGTAGTCCCCAACCTTGGGCCTTCAGATGTTCTTGGACTTCAACTCCCAGAAATCCTGGCCAGCAAAGGTGGCAGTGAAGACTTCTGGGAACTATGGTCCAAACACATTTGGAGGGCCATGCTTTACTCCCCTCTGTTTTAATTAATAATAATGAGCCATCAATTCTGACTCATGGCAATCTTCCTGGGTTTTGCAGATATGAAATATCAAAGCAGGATTTACCAGTCCCTCATTCAGGTAGCATTCTAGAATAATGCAGGCCACAAGTGGTAGGGGCATATAATCCTCGAAATGGCACATACTTCAGGTGATCTCAACTGGCCCCTTTCTCAGAAGGCAAAGTGGGGGTTGAACTCCTGACTCTACAACTAGGTCAAACCAGCTGTTCATGCTAAACTATACCCCTGTTTACGAAGGTATTAAAAGAAAGGGTAGAGAACCTTTGACCTTCCAAATGTTTTAGACTATAACTACCACAATCTTAACACTAGGGAAACTTCTGAAAACATTTGGAAAGCCAAAAGTTTCACACCTTGCATTGAAAAAACAGAAGCTGTGAACCAAGCTAAATACAGTGGTGCCACGCAAGACGAATGTAATTCATTCCGCGAATAGCACTGTCTTGTGAAATTTTCATCTTGCAAAAAGCGGTTTCCGATAGGAATGCATCGCAATACATTCCTATGGGAACCTTGCAAGATGAAAATAATTCATTCATGTTGCAAGGCAACAGTCTTGCAGAAAACATTCGTCTTGCAAAGCACAGCCATAGAAGAAGCCGTCTTGCAAGGCACCACAGCGATCGCAAAAATCATTTGTCTTGCGGGTTTTCGTCAAGCGAGGCGTTCGTCTTCCAAGGCACCACTGTAAGTGTATGCCTACCACTCCAGGTATCTGTTAAACAATGTTGCAAAGCAACCAGCATTGATATGAAGGCTCTTTTAGAAACATGTACTCCAGATTGTAACTACAAGTTTATCTACTAAACAGCCCCCTTGTTTGTTATCCTTGTTACTAAAGACATCATTCCCAGTTAAATACATGTACAGAATTTATGCTGTTATGGACAATATGTAGTATAGCTACATACTTACCACATTTCTGATTTTCAGTTGACAATAACGTTTTGTTTTGTTTCTAGCCACAGTCAATGAAATCACAGTTGCAGACTCAATCCGGCCCCCAACTTGGACAACTTTCCCAACCTCGCCCGCCACCTCAAGGTACAAACCTTACTGCAAAACATACAAGGCATGGCTTGCCCAAGACACTGATATGGGGGAGAAAGTTCAGAACTTTATAGAAAAGGAAGGCACATTAAAAAATACCACTTTTGTTCCAAGAGAGCGTTTTCTAAAAGAGGCTTAGGTCTAACTTTTAGAAGAGTGAAGAGCCCCCCAAAGCATGCAAACAATACCTTTAAAAGCTCTAGAACCAATACAACATGATAAATAAGCCAAAATATTTTAACTCAAATATGACACCAAAATATGAGCTTTAAAATTTATTTATTACTATAAGTGTCAAGTGAAGCAAGAATTTTAAAAGATTCTTAGAAGAACTGTGACTTTTTAAATTACAGGAATGAAGAATGTGCTTGAAAATACGATACAATAATGCAGTTTTGAAGTTCCTCAAGAAAGGAGCAAGCTTTCACCGAGTGTCTTTAAGCTTGCAATATTTATAAACTGGTGTTTCTAACCTCAATCTAAGATGTGAGAATAATTTTAACTCTAATAAGTTACTGCAAGTCACTGGATTCTTAGCATTCAGCCATGTAGATATTGGGAAATCATACTAAAGACGTGACTGTAATGCTCATGGGTAAAGAGACTATTCTCTATTGAAATGCACCTCTTTGCTCTAGGGGGGCCACGCCAACCTCAAGGACCACAGCCTGCACGGACAGGAGCTCCACCCCAGCAAAGGCTCTCTCCGCAAGGTCAACAACCTCAGAGCCCCCAGTCCACCTCACCCCAGCAGCAGAGGTCACCTGGATCTCCCCAACAGACTCGATCATCAGCCGGAAGTTCACCGAGTCAGCCTTCCAAACCTGCCACCTTTCCTCCACAGCAGCCTCGACCCCCAGCTCAAGGGCGAGGTCCTGGTCAGCAGGGCTCTGGAGAAGCATCAAAGAAGCAGGCTCCTCCTCATCCACACCTAAAGTAGGTCCCTATTACTGTATATTAGATGCCTAATGTAATTTCTACATTAAACAGAGCAAAGATCCAACAGTACACACTGGTATCCAAGCCAAGACAGAATAGCGATTTCCTTTTCCGGTTGCAGTTCCATATGGTATCTAAAATACCTACTCCAGAGGTTTTTCCCAGTCCTCCCCAGTAGGTTTTTAAGGTGTATGGGGGAAAGAGAGGGTTGTCATGGGGAAACAGTGGGATCCAGAGGACGTACACCACTGGACTTTGGTTACAGCGCATGGGGACAGCAGAGGCTGCAGTAATTCAAGTATCTAATTCAAACTACAGTGGACCCTCTACTTACGGAATTAATCCGTATTGGAACGGTGGCTGCAGGTCGAAAATGTAGGTCGAGTCTCCATTGACCTACAATGCATTGAAAACCGATTAATGCTGTAACCGGCCATTTTTGTTCCATTTTTGTTTTTTTCTGGTCTGTAGGTCGATTCTCTGGCTGCAAGTCGAACCTAAATTTTGCTGCCAGGGAAGGCTATAAGTCGAGCCATCTCATCTGTAAGTCGAGGGTCCACTGTACATGCTAAGGTTTTAGAGGAGATAGTTGTGTTAGTCTGTGCTAGCATATCGGGCAAAAGCAAAACAAAAATAAAAAAATAAGACAAAAATAGTCTGTCACTTTAAAAATTAACTGCTATATCTTAATATGAGCTTTTATGGACATGTCCACTCTCTTCAGACATCAGATATTCTTCAGACTAGTCCACAAAATCTCACATCAAAATATAGCAGTTGGTCTTTAAGGTACTACAATGTTTTTGTCTCCATTTTTTATTTTTGCTTTGTTTTTACCTAATACAAGACATAAATACAAAATAAAGGTGCATCTCTCTGGGTTACTGGTCCATTTCAATTTGCCAAATAATAATTTGGCCCTTCAACATGATTGTAGCATAACTACCAAAACCAAACCCTAAATGCCAAAATAGAAATGCCATACCAGCTTACTGAAAATAGTATCAGCCATTTGTTACCTTTAAAAAAAAAACTTCATCTTCCCCTACGTTGCCAAGCTGTCAAAAGATGCTGACAAGGCTCTAAATGCTCTGTAGTAAATACACTTCTGCGCCTTGCATAAAGCACGCAAACGTTTTAGAGTTACATTTTCTTCCACTCTGATGCACAGAGGGAGGGTAGATTGTGGCAGCTTGCTTTTCTCACCACTGCTCTGCACACCACTTGGAGGAGGAATCATTTGCGTACAAGAAGCCAGACTGGCCCCATCTTTGCTGTCCTTCTGCAAGAGGGCCAAGACTTTTCTCTTCAGGCAGGCTTTCCCTGAATGGCTGTCTGTCTGAGAGAGGTTTTAAAATGGGGTGATTTTATTTTTGTTGCTTTTAAATCTGTTTTAGTAATGCTTTTACATTGCATTTTTAATATAATGTTCATTTAATTATTTTTAAAGTATTTGATTAATTTGCTGGTTTTGGCTTTAAATATTGTGTTTTTCAACGAGGTAAGCCTTCTTGGGTCCTTTTTTTAGGAGTAAGATGTGATAAAAATATTTTAAATAAATAAAAATACACCTGTAGACATGCAAATGCAGGACATGGTGGCACTGCAGATTAAACTGCTGAAGCCTCTGTGCTGCAAGGTCAGAAGGCCAGCAGTCGTAAGATCGAATCCATGTGATGGGGTGAGCTCCCGTCGCTTGTCCCAGCTCCTGCCAATCTAGCAGTTTGAAAGCATGTAAATGCAAGTAGATAAACAGATACCACCACAGTGGGAAGGTAACGGCGTTCCATGTCTAGTCGCGCTGGCCACGTGACCATGGAAACTGTCTTTGGACAAACGCTGGCTCTACGGTTTGGAGACCGGGATGAGCACTGCACCCTAGAATTTGACACGACTAAATGCCAAGGGGGACCTTTACCTAGACATGCAAACAGTGGTCTGCTCAAGGTGGCTGATTAGCAACTAGGAAAGTTTTATACCCAATGTGTTGTACATTGAACAAGGAGACTATTAAGCCAAGTGAGCAATGTGACAGTGCATAACTTCACCACTTGAACTTCGGCCATATCACTGGATTAACCTTATTAGAGCTGTTAGAAATTTGTGTGAACACGGAAAGGTGACTATTAAGCCAAGTGAGCAATGTGACAGTGCATAACTTCACCACTTGAACTTCGGCCATATCACTGGATTAACCTTATTAGAGCTGTTAGAAATTTGTCACAATGAAAGCCTGATTCCATTATTAATTAATCATGGGATCCAAAGCATTGTTTCTTTGATCTTTCTTTTCTTACATGGAACACATCTTCCAAAAAAAAAATTTCTACTGAAATTCAAGAGTCTTAAACTTACACATCTTCAAACTGGCTCAAGTGAAATCTGTTACTAACATGTATCTAACTTGTTGGCACCAATTGTTCCACTAAAGTTTCCAAACTTAAGAACAGGAATAGGTTACCTACAGTGATCCAGGGATTTGTACAACTAGCTCCCTTGGGGAGCTGCGCACACTCCCGTAATGCAAATATTTCTCTTACAAAAACTGCGTTTTTAATACTAAGAAAGCTCCCTCATGCCTTCTGGTGGTGAATTTTATTCATTCATTCATTTTTTATTTATTTATTTTGCTGGGGCCCAAGCTGTGCTAGGAGTCCCGTAAAACATAACATTACCTAGAGGTCATAAATTGCGCACACTCCCGTAATGCAAAGATTTCTCTTACAAAAACTGTGTTTTTAATACTAAGAAAGCTCCCTTATGCTTTCTGGTGGTGATGTTAAAAAACTGCCATCAATAGTAAAGTCATTCCTTTGCTGGGGCCCAAGCTGTGCTAGGAGTCCCGTAAAACATAACATTACCTAGAGGTCATAAAGAGACTGACCCACCGCCCAAAATATATTTTTCACTGGACGTACTGAGGGCTACATGAAACCATATGTTACCCATCTTAGAAGACTGATGTTACTGGGTATGAACTCAAAAATAACTATCATTGGCTGAAATCTTAGTCATGTAAGTTATATTGTACAAGGCAGATAATAGCCAAGACAATTTCTCAAATATTTCTTACCTCTATCCCAAAGCCCCTCAGGCACCTGTGTAATCCGTGCACTATTGGCAACCCATAGGGGCCACAGGACAAAGCGTTTATTGATGTTAAAAAACTGCCATCAATAGTAAAGTCATTCCAGGGGCAACAATTTCCAGTACAGTATTAACATGTTCCTTTTCCTGTTTGGCAGTCCTGCTTCTCAAAAATGGGAAGGGTGACACAGGACTCATAGATGACTCATGACAAAAATACTCCAGTTGATGACATCAGCAGCTTTACAGAGCACAACTCACACAAACAGGATTTTAGCCAGTGCTTTGTTTGCAACACAGGTATAATTAAGTTAAATTTCAAAACAAACTAATGGGTGGAGAACAATATTTATGTTTTGCTAATGTGAATTTTTTTTCTAATTATTTTTTCCCATTACTTAAAAAAGTTTTTACTTAAGTATAGAAGTGGTTTACACATTTCAGCAGTACATTCAAAATGTTATGCCGTATGCTTTTCAACCCTAAGGGTATAGAATGGAAAATAGGTAATTAAACGTTTTGCTGTCTTCTGCAATGTATAAATGATGCTAAACACATTATCTTGGAGAAATTGTATATACTTTGTTATACAGTGGTGCCTCACACAACGATGTTAATTGGTTCCAAAAATACCAGTGCTTTGTTTGCAACACAGGTATAATTAAGTTAAATTTCAAAACAAACTAATGGGTGGAGAACAATATTTATGTTTTGCTAATGTGAATTTTTTTTCTAATTATTTTTTCCCATTACTTAAAAAAGTTTTTACTTAAGTATAGAAGTGGTTTACACATTTCAGCAGTACATTCAAAATGTTATGCCGTATGCTTTTCAACCCTAAGGGTATAGAATGGAAAATAGGTAATTAAACGTTTTGCTGTCTTCTGCAATGTTTAAATGATGCTAAACACATTACCTTGGAGAAATTGTAATCAATCACATCATGTTATACTTTGTAACATTTATATCTCATCTTTTCTCTGGTGAGACCAAGGAGGTTTAGATGGCTCTTCTCCTTCCCATGCTATCCTCAAAACAGACCTGAGAGACAAGTCATGCTGAGAGACCATGTGCGCTCCCTAGGCCTAAAGTATATTTCCAAGCTCTGAATGATAGTGAATGATAGTTGCCCAAGAATACCAATGCTTCCAGCCTGGTCCTCCGTTTATGTCTCCAAAGGAAATGTCCATATTTAAAATTCTTTTCTTTTCTTTTTCACAGCAAGTCACAATCTCTTACAAACACCTTCAGCCTCTCAGAATCTTCACAGCGAGGAAATCCCAACGAAGACGAGGCAAAAGCTGAAACCATCCGCAACCTGAGGAAGTCATTTGCTAGCCTGTTTTCTGATTAGTTTTTCAGCCTGGAGTTAGAGCAATTTTGGATGTGTGTTTTTAAATTTCCTAACTGTTTTATATATTCATCTGTCTAGTCTTGTCCTTGGATTACCCAGTATTATGTATAGTTTCTTACAGAGCCTATTCTTACATACAACAAAGGGATGCATCTCAACACATAGTGGGATCTTCCACATCCAGACTCTTCTGAACAGTGCATATCCATGACAATATGCACAATATATGCACGCATTTCAAGTCTGAGGGTAAAGTTCATGTGATACTGAGCTTACAAATGTGGACACCTTATAGGGATATTTATAGGAGACATATGAATGAATGGCAACGGTGGGTGGCGCACAGTCCTGATGCCTCACCACTCATTCACTCATTAATCTACTTTACTCTTTATATGAGTATGCCCAGAATTTACAAATAGAACCTTTTAGTTATCTTTCAATGGCTGAAACTCTGTTGCTTGGCCTAATAGGTTGCACTCATTGGGGATATGATGAGTCACGTCCTCTTGATTCCATTGATTCAAATGGGCCTAGTTAGTACAACTTGCCATGCTAAAGTAAGCCGCAACTAGAATAGGTCCATATGAGTCAAGGGAAATTACAAAAGATTTGACTCACTGAATCGCCAAATTCAACAGGCCTACTCTAATGCAACCTACTACACTAAGAAACAGGACTTCAGCCTGTCTGTTATTAACACACCCCTTATGTATATATTCAGTTTACTTGCTTCAGAGGATCAGAGATAATTAAAAAGTGTCAACAATGTAAAAGGCATTCTCAAAGCTAGTACAGGGAACTTCAAGAAGCATACATCCAGCCATAGATTACAGCAACCAACTTCCTGTTGAACTAGAGCCAATTTTGCATGTCAAAATGAGAGAATTTTCAAACTGCCCTTCTTATAATATTCACAGCAGAGCAAGCATCTATGATGCTAGGTGTGGTTCGCAGTACTTTTTACATGGCTTAACAAATCCAAATAATTTCTAGCCAGATTATTTTGGTCAACAGCACCTGATCTCAAATCCATTCTAATTCTGAGCCGCACTTAAATTTAGCATCCTAGTGGCATTGGGAATGGGTAGTGAGGTTATTCTGGCTCAAATTATTTTGTTCCTTTTGCTACAAAGGTTCAACCTCCCCAAGACCCCAACAGCTATTTTATGCTGATCCTACGCAATACAGTTCAAATACAGACACATGATGCACATCACACTTGTGAATATGCAAAACGTATTTCAAATTTACTGTAGTACAAAAATAGCCATAATACTTTTCAAATAAGGACTGGACCCAACACACTTCCTACAGAAACCCAAGAGTCAGGAAAAGTGCAACATCAGCATGACTATGGATATGCTGAAGAAGCCATGTCAGATGCCGATCAAGAACAAAATTAGTAGATATAATTTTAAAAAGATATCCAGCCAGTCACAGAATGCAACAACTAAATGCTCTAGTGGGAACAAAGAAGGGGGTATTTGGGGGTTACCCAAAATAAAGATTTGCTTCATTGTAATCCTGCTGCATCTTCTCCCATACCAGTGTCAGATTCAGCCCTTAGCAACATGTTTTCAAAGTCTGGCAAGATGAGACTACCTTCTAGGCATAAAAAGAGGAAGAAAAAGCAACGAGGAAGAAAAGTTCATGCCAGGATTCTAGCTATCCATTTTCACTTTGGAGCTGAAGAACATGGTTGACTTCCTTTTCACAACACTATCTATGCAACACTGAAATAAACAGGACATTGGCCTGGCACCACACTTCCGATGGAAGTAAACATAGTTTTAACAAAGACAGCTGGACTAAATGATAAGGTATCCATAAGCTTATCATTTGACTTCTCTACAGTCAAAATTAAACAGAATAGCTACGTAAGATGTCGAAATGCACTAAGTCATGCCATGGGCCCTGCCCCCAATCTTAATGAGGGGTGGGAACAGGTCGTGCTTAGTACTAAGAATTTTTTTTTACTATTTATTTATTTAAAATATTTTTATTCTGCCTTTCTCCCTAAAAGGACCCAAGGCAGCTTACATCATTAAACAGACCATATATGAAACCTAAAAACAGTAAGTATACAAATATTAAAATTAAACAAGTATTATATTAAAAACAGTAAATAATATCAATAGTAAACACATTTAAGAGCTCCAGAGCACAATCCATCTTTTAAAACCCTCTAAGGGAAAACCTGCCTTTAGAGAAAGGTCTTTGCCAGCCTGCAGAAAGTGTTGTGTTGTTTTTAGTACACCCAAACTACTCTTACAATTTTTTAAATGGCTAACAAACCTGTTCCAATGTTACTCACATGCACTGTGCCACAGAGTGCACCTTAAATTGGACAAAGACTAAAATCAAATCTCATCACAGCACTATTCAAATTTTAACTATCTTCAAGCTTCTCAACTGAGCCATCTGCTTGACTCCAACTTAACTCAAACTGAACAGCAATAGAGCTCCAATCATTTTACTTCCTAGTCTCAGTTGCTGTAACTATGATTTCCACAAGGTGATATAAATGCAGCTAGAAATCATATCAGAAGACTAATCTCCTGCAAACTGCTAACAGAGCTTTCCTTTCAACCAGCATACCAAAATGTGGCTTTTAGTGGTTAAAAACATGGATTCATGCTCAAGTTTATGCTGAAGAACTCTGTTTAACCTACCTCATCATAGAGTGAAATCACATCACCATTTGTACTAGAATGCTACAAAAACAGTGAATATTACCTCCCATAAAAAGCTTGTTTTGCCATCAAAAAGGCTAACTATACAAGTAGAGTGTGTAAGCATCCCATTCTAGCTAGACTCTTATAAGGATAACAAGAAATAGCTAGAGTTTAAGGGCACTCCCTGGAAAAGACCCTGATGTTGGGAAAGTGTGAAGGCAAGAGGTGAAGGGGACGAGAGAGACAAGATGGTTGGACAGTGTCATGGAAGCTACCAACATGAATTTGACCCAACTCCGGGAGGCAGTGGAAGACAGGAAGGCCTGGCATGCTCTGGTCCATGGGGTCGCGAAGAGTCGGACATGACTTAATGACTAAACAACAACAACAAAGGGCATATCAGAGCTAAATTCTTATACTCAAGCCTTTTTATACAGCTGATTTAGGTTTTATCACTTTAGCCATTATAATCTAGCTCAGAAATTTAATAATTCAGTAGGAGTGTGCCTCACCAAAGCTGTGTAAGAACTTAATGGGCCACTACTGAAATGAAAGATGTTTTGTAAAGTTTAACACTACATCCCCTCAAAACAGTTTTATGCTGAAATATCAAGATTTCAAAGTAAATGGATGACTCTAATGAAGAGTCAAGCAAGCAATAATATACAAAGTGCTACTATCTAACTACAAACCCCATCTTTAGGGCAATGCACATAAAAATGCACAGGCACATTAACATACACATTCAGAAATGTTAAGTTTGGAAATGTGTGTAACAGCTGTAGTTGCACCTTCTTCCATTTTCTTCCAAAAACATACCACAATGTATCACATTCAGAATCCAATCAATGCTGTTACCTGGGACTACTACAGAGTGGTTTACAGTACAACTGGGTGAAATGAAACTGAAAATACTAGTCAGAAACTTCACTCATGAATGACAGATGCAATTCATTTTCCAAACATAAATCATTTTGTTCTACCCACCACTCTGCAAGCTATATTCATGTCGATCTTTCAAGGAGGTACCTTCCAGCCAGGCACTCTTTGTGTTCTCAAAACACAAGCCACAACTTGTATTGACTATATACACATTTTCAGGTATGCATACAGCAATACAGAACAAGACACCGAAGATTATTTGACATGACATAACAGACCACCAGCAAAGTTGGTGAGAAACTACATTTTGAGTGTACTCATTTCCACTACATTGTTTTGACCTTATTTGGTTGTACAGTGGGTTTCATCATCTTATTTTATGATGCACTTAAAGCTATTTCCTGATACCTGCAAGAGAATCAGCAAGTACAAAAAGGCAACTTCTTGCTAAAGCTTTAGGCATTCTTATGGTTTTTGGTTAGGATCTGGGTTATACTGTAGCATGTTATTATTCAACTGTCTATAGAATGAACTGTTCAATATTTTTTTTTCAAGTGTAAGAAACATTTTACTTCTGTATTCTTTGTGCATTGAAGAACCCAATACCAAAATTGCTTTTCAAGTAATAAAAGGAGGGGGGAACCCTTTAGCAACAGAAGCTGTCTGAAAAAAAAATCAATCAGATACCTTCAGGGCTTAAACTTTCTGTACATCAGACATGATATACATTAGAACGTTTTGTCATGAAAAAGACCTTTATTCAGATTGAAGTGGGGAAGAAACCATCATGATCATTCAGACCAACATAAATGTTAGTGTTTAAAGTGCTTTTTATTTGCTGGAATCAGGGCCAACTATCTTTTGCTTTTTAAGAAGCAATCCACAGAGGGGAAAATGAAAAGAATAAACCATCCCACAAAGTTCTTTCAGAAAAGATCTCCAGATTCAAAGGAAGGCAGTACTGGTTGTTGGCACTGCTTGCCGGGCTGAAGTCCATGGAATGAAGATGCCATGGTTCATATGCACTGGCATATTTAAAACAGGCCGACATCACAGCCCTGTAGTTGAAGTATCCTATAGCTTAAAAGCAAGTCAGGAACAGAGATGTTTAAAACATTAAAAGCAAGGCCAAAGGAGTCATCATATGAAAGCACGGCGACTATCAATTGGGCGGCCTCGGGTGGCTCTTCCTGGAAGTGTGGGATTGGGATCCTGAAATGGTACAAAAGGGTCAAAGTGTGGCCCATGAGGAGGATACTGACTGGGAAGTTCTATGGAGGCTGGAAAGAGGGAATGGATTGGATCGCCAATGTATGGAGGCATTGGCCTTTCCTCAAATTCACCACCAATGATCACTGGGGGATAAAGAGGGTCAGGAGGAAAAGGATTGGGATACAGTGGGCTGGGATGAAGAGGTATGGGGAGAGGAGGAGGAGGCAGAAACATCATGTGCCTCCACTTCAGAGCATCCTTCTTCTGCTTCCATTTTTTCTTGTACAGCTGGAGAAAGGGAAAGAAACAACAAAAAGCTTAGCCTAGACTGAGAACCTAAAGGGGAGAGCATCCTAGAACATTCCTCCCAACATCCACAGTATTTAGGATTAGTTATTACTCAAAAGTATCAGCAGTCTCCACATAATCTCTCCAAATAAAATAAGAGTTATCTTTTGAACCACTCCACAGTTTAGAGGAAGATGCCCAATTGGGCAGATATCATTTGAGAGCCTCGATCCTTTATTTAATGCAATAAATTTACTTGACATACACAATTCTAGACCAAATTCAGCTGTGCTTAGCTATGTGAATATTGTATGGACTGCCATTAAGGGGACTGCCAAAGTTTAACACCTTTTAACTAAAAACAGAGCAACTACTTGCTGTATCAACTACAGTTCCTGCTACCTTAAAATCTAACCTACACAACTCTACCTTTCTAGACTGCTCTTTAAACATATTGTCTAGAAGAAACATAAACATACCTCCTTCCAATCTGTGTCTCGAGACCTGGCAACAGGATCTGCAAAGAAGTGGCAGAATTCAGTCTGATACAAGAATCTCATATTGCATCTCTGCACAGCCTGGAAAGGCAAAATCCTGCACTTCATTTAGGAGGTCTGTGCTGACCACAGGACTTCCAAAAAGAATGGACCTCCTAGCAGATACAATACAAAAAAGTCATCTCCAAAAGAGCTATCTGATGACTGTCCCCTTCTATTCAGTGATGCTGCTGCTGCCTTCTCTAAAGAAAAGCGACATTTAAACTGGCCTATAAGGCTGCTTAAGAAGCCTGGGTTTGAGACCACACCTCTCTCTTCACCTCTAAGCGAGAAGAATAAAGGGCACATATTTAGTCACCTCTAAAATCTCGCAGGTATATGAATCTCCACAAAAGTTGGTCATTTGAGGCAGTGTACAGGTCACGACAAACGGCAGACAAAGAGAGGAGCGAGCGGACATCCAGGAGACGTAAAACCCGGAGTTTCAGCTCCAGTGGAAGGACCACAAGGCCAAACACATCTGGTAAGTTCAAAGCTAAGAGGACACAGAAGAGACATTATTCACAATGCCACAGTAACTGCTTATTATTGTTTATCATCCTGCTAAATGATGATAATAATAAGTGATAAAATGATAATGATAAAATAGCAATTATTGTTTATCATCCTGCTAAATTACTCTCAGATAAAAAGGGTGATGTTAAGATAACAGCTACAGAAAATGGTTACCCACAAGTGCAACACCCAGTCCTCATTTTATGCATGAGTAATGGACTAGAAAACAGCTTCTTTTTCTAAATGAAGCTGATGGAAAAGTTAAAGCTTCGATAGAGCATGTGTTGGCAAAACAACAAACATTTGGATGTGAAAGCAAAATACAACTTTCGGCTTAAATCGATCCAGCCCTTATCTTTGGTCACTAAAATGCCTGACGGGCTGATGGATCATGTGCTTTGTATGTGAAAAGTCCCAGGTTTGATCCATAATGTTGCCAATAGAAGGATTTTGAAAATGGCATTAAGAAAGCCAGTTCAAAGCTCCCTGAAAACTACCAGGATTAACATTATTGGAACAGCTGGATGTAAGAGTACATCAAACTGATTTGTCCTCTAAGAAGGGGACGGACTTAAAAGTGAAAATGCCAATGGTAGTTAGAGATGAAGAACTATCAGTAATCCATAATATTAAGGCACTTCCAGTCCCACTGCTAACATACTCTTCTGAATTTCTGTGGCAAACATGGGCGAGCAAAGGAGTGAATGACACAAGGAACAGTGCCAGTTGCTGACTATATTTCTCAGCATAGCAGAAGGGATTCCTAAGACATCTTTCGCCTTGTTTAGCAAGTGACCATTTCACCAAAGTTACTATGGCTACACAAGTTTCTTCTAAGTTTCTTTCCAAGCTGTAGTTAATTAAATGTAATATAAACTCCAGCATTATTGATTTCTATAGCCAGGTCAAGAAACTTCCCCACAAATTCTGGGAAATGTACTGTTAAATTCTATACAATCCCACAGAAGCATTTGGGATCAAGGAAAAGAGAAGAACTCTTTTCTCTAATATTTTCTTTATGATCACATACCCCTGAAATTAAAAAGATAAAAGCTGCTTTCTGAGACTAAAAAGTCAAAGCTACCCTCTGAGAAGATGGCACAGGAGGAAATCCTCATGGCTGTCCACTACCTGTTCGTTGTTCCACAGTCTCTGAAATAGCTGCTAGAGTTTTTAGACAATCAGTACCTCAATTTCCTTGGCTTAGGAACCAAACTCCAAAAGCAATTACAAAGTGACATTAGCAATGCTCAATATGAAGCAATTCAGCCTGGCCAAAAAATGAAAAGGCAAAGATCAAAGAGAACATTTTATTGCACACTGTATTGTCAAGCCACAGAGGAAACAGCCTCTCCAGCTGGCTCAACAACAGTAGAAGTCTTAGCTCTTTAAAAGAAATATGACTCTTTAGACTTCAAAAGGGATGTATCTGATTTTTATCTATTTAACATTTTCCAAATTAGAAATTGCTGCTCACCAAGCTTGGTAAGTCAAAGTTACAACCAAGACTGTACGAGACAGGAACATATGCACTCATTTGTAAGTACTGGAATATAACTGGAATGAAGAGTAGCTACCAATTGTCTCTGGGAACTACATACTTCCAGCATTGGGGTTCATCCTGACTAATGAGTTGAGATTTGTGTACATGTCCATGCAAACAGCTGCAGGCCTACCGAAGGCCCAAGCAGAAGCACAGAGCAGACAACTAAGGTTGCTAAGAAGGGATGTGGGCCCTCATCTCAGACAGAGTACCGTACCAAGCTCCGTGCCTAAATTTGTGGAATGATGCATTTAAAAACCAAAAGGCTAGTGGAGAAATCTTAATACTTTGAAATTCTTGAACCCACTCAGAAATTCTTGAATCCGCTCAGCTGCTTTAACCAGTGCATGACAACACTCTTTTTTTATAAAGCATCTATAGTATGTTTCCTTCAGTGATTCTCTTACCTTGCCGGGCAGCAGCCAGAAGAGGGTACACCAGCCGATCTTTAAAGAGGCGAGATAGCTTCTGAAGGTCCTTATACACTTCTGTAACATTTGCTTTGGGGAGGAAAAGGTTTAAACGGCTACAAATTACAGAAAACTTGTAAACAGTTGACCAATATATTTTCCCAAAGCCAAATCACCTCAAGTAACTAGACACAAAAGTTCCCTTCTTTACATTGCAAGATGGAGCAGGCAAAGAGAAAAAATAAAATGACATTCATTACTAAACCTATTACACTGTTAAATGAAAATGCCCTAAACAGTTAAGAACTAAGCTTTACAGAAGAAGCCATGCATATAAACGATGTTACACTCAATCTTCAAGTTTTCCAAGCTGTGGCTCCCTCTCCTGGTTAATTAGATGAGATCAGACCACACACACTAGCCAGCTGGCTTTCAGGAGAAACAAAACCTGGCCGGACAGCTAGAGAAGATCAGGGCTCCACCCACCAGTACCTGGGGTCTGACTGCCACTTAATTCAAGGGTTCCACTTGTATACAAATGTAGGCATTCTTCTTTGTGCACTCTAATTCTTGTTTGAAAATAAAATGGTATACTTATACATGTGCTAACAAATAATCCAGTCCACATAGAATATTAAAACAGCAATTAGTATTACACAAACAAGCCAGACTGTCCAAATAACATGTCAGGGGGTCAGCAGTCCCCACTCCTCCTCCCAACAGCCAGGAAGAAAAACAAAATGGAACATTCTCTCTGGCTGGTTTGTCACTTGTGAATCAGGAACTGTAATTTAAAAGCAACTCTAAACAATTACCAAATAAATGAACCCGAACCAACCTCTTTCTCAATTCTTAAGCAAACCAGAGTTATTTTTTTATCTCTACCAAAACCCAAGAGAGGACATCTACTAGAAGGGGTTTACTCCCCTTCTAGTCTGTATAGGAGAAGGAAAAGGGAAGCGGTTGATTTTTGTTTATTCATGTAATGTTAAATTGGCATTTACTGTTAGATGTGAACAAGTTAAATATATTTTGGTGCATATGCATATATTCTCTGATAACTCATGGAAGCAGGGATCAAAACCAATAAACACACATTTGTCCACTATTTTGACATAGAAAATGAAGACTGAAGAGGCGTATTGAGTTTGATCTGTACTCTTATTTCTGCAATTATATTAACAAATCTTGGTATCTGAAATCATTGCCCAGCTATACGGTTGTGCATTTCTCCTTTCCCCACTTCTTTATCCTCTCCTACATGATGCTGTCATCATGGCTTTTATAACTTTGGAGGCAACTGCTCTAAAGAATGGCATGTTGCATCCAAATCAGTCTTCAAGACAATTCAGCCAGGAACCAGTTCTTTAGCCACTTTAAACAGTGTTATTATAAAAAGGAAACCTGCCACTATATGAAGATAGTCCATAATATTCTGAGACAGATCTTCTAGCAAAACCAGTTGCCAGCTCCTCTGATAGCACAAAAGGAAAGCATGATCAGAACAACCTCTGCCAAGACAGTTTATTATTCAGATCTTTTCCAGCCTAGTCACCAAAATTACCATTTGACTGGTAATATTTTCATTACAGAATGATAAGACTGTACTAGTTCTCCAGCTTTTAGGTCACTCTCAAGGAGAATTTGTGGAGACTTTTGTGGAGACAGTATTTTCTTTCTGTGATATGTTTTAAGACGTTCCAAGTACAGTGTTTCTGACAATTTGAAGCACTGATTAAAAAATGGTAGGATGCAGTTACAAAAGCTGAAAATGTTTGTTTTCCTGTGCTTCCGCAGGCATCACCCACTATCCTCTCAGCTCCATTATTCAATAACTGAAATTAATACTATACTGATTTAGTAATGATATCTTTGTGTGTTTTTTCACTGAAAACCCCTTTAAGAAAAAAAATTACCTGAATTCTGAAAGGAAATGAAAGATGCTGGCAGAAGCTGCAGCCTCTTCACACTTTTGATATCACCAACGATTTTTAACATTGCTGCAAATACAAAAGATTACACTGAGAAAACCTAATGAAAAATTCCGAGAATCTCTTGTTACTCTTGGTAACAGTCCATATTCTATGTTATATTGTTGCCCTCTCTTATTTTTCTATTATCTCCGATTGACAATGTCGACCTCACAGACATCACACCATTGAGATATGCCGTTTTAAAGGGAAGTTTTACAAGGAAGACACTCTGACCTACCAAATGCCAGGGCCATATGGAGTGAGTGAACAGTATAGTACTGTAACAGTAAAATATATGCAAGGGCTATTCAAACTCAATCTGTGTGGATTCTGTTTGAAATTTTAAAAAAAAGTATTCTACATTTTCAGGTATGTGAGTAGCAAAAGACAAACAAATTTTAGTTCAATCTTTTCCCACAAGACAGACTATGAACTTCCAAACAAATTGGAAGTGCAAGGGTGGAGGGGGGGACAGGATTGCAGCTGGAAATAGATACACAAATAGTCAAGGAATATTACCACCTTGAACAAGTTCAAATCTCCAGGCCCGCATGAACTGCATCCAAGAGTACTGAAGGAACTGGCTGAAGAACTCTCAGAACCGCTATCCATAATTTTCTTGAAAGGATGGGAAACGGGTGAGGTGCCAGAGGATTGGAGGAGGGCCAATGCTGTCCCTATCTTCAAAAAGGGCAAAGAAGAGGAACCTGGGAACTACAGGCCAGTCAGCCTGAACTCAATCCCAGGCCAAGTTCTGGAACACATCGTAAAGCGGACATTGTGCAAGCACCTAGAAAACAATGCCGTAGTAACTAGAAGCCAACATGGATTTGTCAAGAACAAATCCCACCAAACTAATTTGATCTCATTTTTTGATCAGGTCACCTCCCTGATAGACAGAGGGAATGCTGTAGATGTAGTATACCTTTGACTTCAGCAAAACTTTTGACAAAAGGCCCCATGATATCCTGATTAAAAAGCGAACTAGGTGTGGGCTGGATAGATCAAGTGTCAGGTGGATACACAATTGGCTACAGAATCATACTCAGAGGGTGATGATTAATGGGTCCTTCTCTAACTGTGGGAGGAGGTAATAAAGTGGGGTACCCCAAGGCTTAGTCCTGGGCCTGATGCTCTTCAATATTTTTATTAATGACTTGGATGAGGGAGTGCAGGGAATGTTTGTCACATTTGCAGATGATACCAAATTGGGAGGAATAGCTAATGCCCTAGAAGACAGAAACAAAATTCAAAATGATCTTGATTGGATGGAGCACTGGGCCAAAAGCAACAGAATGAAATTCAACAGGGATAAGTGCAAAGTACTGCACCTCAGAAAAAGAAACCAATTGCATAGCTACAAGATGAGGGATACCTGGCTCAGCAAAACTACGAGCAAGAAGGATCTTGGAATTGTCGTAGATCACAAGCTAAATATGAGCCAATAATGTGATATGGCTGCAAAAATGGCAAATACTATTTTAGGCTGCATTAATAGAAGTATAGTTTCAAATCCCACAAGGTGCTACTGGAAAATCCAACAATCTCAAGAAGCCAAGGGAGAAGATCAAAGACAGAGTAAGCAGTCAGGGAGGACAAGATGGATGACACCAGGAGCTTGCATAGCAGAAGGAACAAATGAAACAAAGAAAGAACATTTCCACTGGGTTCCAAACAATCGGGGCCCTTTTACAGCTTCAAAATCCCTACCCATACCCACATGTTCTGATCTGGTGCTGACAGCAGTCCTTGTAACAGCACTGGATGCTCTAGAGACTTCAGTCAAAAAAAAAAAAAAAGGAAATTCCCAAGGTTAGGCACCGAGAACAAGTGTGCTAACTTGAAGTAGTCGCCACCACTCGGACAAATTAACACGGCAAAATTTTTTTAAAAAATTTAAAATCCCCAATTACAAAATAATTTTATTGCTTGTTTTTTTTAAAATGAAAACGAAACCATTCAAAAGGATGCTCATTAAAAGGAATTATTTAGCTTGTTTCATAGCTTGGGTGAGGTGGGGAGTTGCTGGCAAAGATGACAGAAATCCAGTCATCAAGCAAGATAAAATCCAAGGCATTCACACCACAAAGTAAAACACCTTAGCTTCATTTCCAAGCCTAAAGGAATTACTGCCTCAGCATGAGACCAAGGAAACAAGGGTAGCTCATTTCAGACTTTTTCAAAGACCAAAAGTGTGAAGTCAGTTTTCAAGTGGAGCAGTTATGTAACGTCCTTACCATTGACAACAATAAGGTCCCCCAAAGGCACACATGTAAGGGCAGCAAAGCCATTTTCACAGAGGGGATGTGTATATTGCAGCTTATAAATTCCTTTGTTCCTCCACTTCTCAGGCATTAAAGTTGACTTGGCTTCTGTACCCTAAAAATAAAGGGAAAGTTACAAAAATCCATCTTCTTCAATAGTCAACATTTCATAAATGAAAAACTGACAAAACCTTTTTTTCTGCATGCTTGAATAACTCTCTGTTGACAGCACACAATGTGGAGTAATTTACCATACAATACATCTCAGTCAGAGAGACCATTGTTTGAAGATGGCTTTTAAACTGTGGTGTCAAGAGAATACAGCATTGACTGCTATTGTAATCTATAAACATGAAACATAAACTAAGAGGGAATCGCTCCAGGTGGGAGAAAGCATGTGTGTGTTCACATGAACATCTCCTGATCTGCAACTGAATAGCTTATGTGTTTCTAGAACTAACTTTGCACCAGATCTGGAGGAACAGCCTAAGAAAGATGTTTGAAAACTTTAGTAGCAAAGAAAGCTAGTTTTTTTTTCCTTACTTGAGGTACATATCCAGTCTCCATCATGATAAGGTGGATAACAACTATCAAAGCATCACTGGCACTGGCACACTCTGCAGAGTGGTAAAGCGTCTCAAGCGAGTGTGGCACCTGCCCATCTGTAGCTTCACAGCAAAGCATTGGCTCCGAAGGGTAAGAACCCACAGCTTCTTGAAGGTCAGTCTCTGAAGCAAACTCTTGGCTGGATCCTGCCTTGAAAGGTCAGCGACAGAAACAAATGAGCATTTAAAAGGTGATACTTAGTTGTAAAAACTAATAAAGAGAAAACTGGGGAAAAAAACACTGCCTTTCTGCAAGAAGTTAGTCACTTTGAAAGGACTTTAAGCAATTCCAAGTTTCTCCTTAGTTAATTTCTATACAAGGCAGATTATTTAGAAATCATCATATGGCTTCTGCTCCTGAGGACTTACCGTACTGTCACTCATCTGAACATCACCTTGGACTGTATGGTCTATTATGTGTCCATTGTGTGTTCCATTATCTGGATTCCTGGATTGACTCTGATATGCAGCTGAAGTTGATGTTTCATGATTATTCTGTGGCTGAGTAGATGAGCAAGGTGAGCATAATCTCCGTGCTGCATCAGCATCTTCCAATACCAAATGTATCAAGTCTCCTGAGACAATCCCAAACGATGCTAGGGTTTCTTGATCTCCAACAAGAAAGTCTTTGTTGTTCAAGGTTATTGCAAACTTGGAATCAGAACTGTAGTTAAAGCAAAGTTAAATACAAAAGGTACATGGCTGTTTTGAGGCAGGCACTGAATCTAACGACTAAGCAATGTCTCTGTACACACAACTCTACATTCACACTATAAATTACAATGTCAACGTGCAGTACAGTATAAAAGTAAGGCCAATTCCAAGTAATTACTTCCCTTTCTTATCTATTTATGCTTCCATTAACTGGTTGCAAGCCCACACATAATTGGAAGCATTTTACATAGATCATGGAAGAGGTCTTACAGTAATTACTTCCCTTTCTTCTGTATTTGTTATGCCTCCATTAGCTGTTTGCAAGCCCACACATAATTGGAAACATTTTACATAGATCATGGAAGAGGTCTTACAGACTTAAGTACAGGATTTTTTAAATTAATTTTCTCAGGCAGACACTGGCCCAACTTAGATGTCCACCCAAATCATGATTAAGTAGGATTTTTTTTAGTTAATTTTCTCAGGCAGACTTAGATGTCCACCCAAATCATGATTAAGAACTGGAGTGGAGATCATATGGTTCATAGGCCACATGCGGCCTGCCAAAGCTCCCATGAGAACATTGTTCAGCATGTACAGTCATACTCCAGAACCCTCTGAAGTCTTGGCTGTCAATTAATTTCAGGGCCCCCAACATTAGGACCCAAATTAGTCTTTTTTTAAAAACTGGAAGTTACCCAATTAAAGGTGGGTGCCATCTGCCCAATTTGGTTTAGAAAAGAAGCAGCTGTGAGCCTCAGGTTCATGCCTCCTCCAAATGCAAAGGAGAAGCAACACTTTCACTGTAGGGCACATTAGTGTTCTCCTTTGACTGGCATTCACATTTTTCGTAGCAGTTTGTTTCAAAAGGAAAACAGAACATATCTTTCTCCTTCTGTTACATGCAAAGGAGGAGATTAAACAAGAGTGAGATCACTTGAACCTGAAAATGTATAGGTCAACATAATTTGAACTTGCCCTCCTTATAGAAGTATGATCATCACAATACCATATCTGAAACACATTGAAAATTGGATTTATGAAAATATCTTTGGAGGCAGCTAAACTATTAGTTGCGAAACGCCAAACTGGAACTCATCTACAATATGCATTTTGGTTAATTTAGATACGGATTGTAGAAAACTCATAATGCTTTTATTGATTTAAGTTGCTGAATTAGTTTTGTACATGATACTAGAAATAGAATCCAAGTAATGATGTCTGTTTTTTTAAATGCAATAATTCAGTGATAAAATACATTTTCACTCTCCAAAATATAGCAAAGAGCTATAGCAACCAAGTAATTCTATAACCAGAGTATCTCTCCATCACCAGGAGTTACACATGACTTATATCCGGCCAGAGACCTTCGGGTAGTGTGGGCGGCATATAAGTTAAAATAAATAAATAAAATATCCTCCAAAATGTTGTGCTGTAACTATGATTATGATGAAAAATTGTTCTTACTCTCAAGAATTCACAATTATAAGGCCCTCCCCATACAAGTTTCTCCATGACGAATTGCAGAGCATCTTTAAAGGTATCTGAGACCCTTAAGTATACAGCTTTTTTCTAGTTTCTGCTTTTTAAAATTGTATCAAGGCCAAAGAAACTTTAATTGTCATTTAGAATTCATAAGCCTTTACAAGAAGATTGTAGAAGATTGCATTGATTTTTTCACTTATTATTGAATTTCATTTCATCTGACAGGAGACAGCTTTGTGCTGCAAGGGGCTAGATATTATATTTTTGTTATCACTAAAAGCACTTACTTTTATTCTATTCCTGTCTATTGTCACAACCATTTTTTTAAAAGTCAGGTGGTTGATTACATTTTATCCATGTTATGAGGAAAAAAATAAATTCATGATGGAACTGCCCTGGCATACCTGGCACTAACAGACATTTTTCAATAAATAATGCAAAGATTATTTGTTTTAGCATGTTGGAAGTCTTGTTAAATAATCATCTTCACTTCTCTTTCAGCTACGATCATTCAGTAAGTGAAACTGAATGTGGAATCTCCTACTCTTGTTTTTAAGTTTCATTGTATGCTTGAAAGTCAAAAGCCCAGATGTCAGGTCCATTCTGATTAATGGAAAGTGATCCACACAAAAATATCCCAAGGTCTTTAAAGTAAAAAGCCACTAGATGCAGAAACAGAAACCCAAAGTAATTGCTTAGAGAGTTGTTTTATATTTAACTTTGGACACAAAGAGGCTGAATGCTACTTAGTTCACAATTTTTTCTTAATCCTCTATACATTTTTTCTGCATTTATGCTTTACACTTCCAGCAGATTTTGTGTCCTAGAATATAAGCTTTTCCGACAAACCTGTATCTACAGAAATCCTAAATTAGGACCCTTTGGGAGAAAACCGTGTCATTCTGAATGCACTCACGTTCCCCACTATTTGAGAGCCAAGAAAGAACACTGCCGATACTACAGATGCCATTAGTATACCAGACATCATCATAGTTATTGCCCCTCAACATTTTCCATGGTTGCTCTGAAATGTTGATGGCTACAAGCTATTTACATGGGAATCAATGTTGGCCAGCAAACAGAGTTTTAAAATAAATCAACAGATTGCAAAAGGGCAATTCCTCTTCACTCATTTTGTTCCCTAAAATTAGCAAAGTCACACTCTTGGTGTCAAAATATTTGTTTTTAATAAGATGTTTGGGTTTTTTTAAATGGTTATTTTTGTCTTATGTTTTACTGGATTGGATTCTTTCTTGCACTACAATATTCCTCGAACGTTTCTTTTGGGAAATACAGAGTATAAGCCGCCTAGAGTGATCCATTGGTCCAGATAGGCGGGGTACAAATCAAATAAATAAATAAATAAGACTTGGCAGGGGTGTGTGGGGGCAAAGCCAGAGGTGATTTGTCTTCGACCCTCCTCCCCCAGCTGAATTATCTTACAAAGAAAGCTGTTTATCTCCTTCCCTTCCAGAGTTCACTCCGCCTCATGACCAATCCACACAGCCACTCTCTTTCCCACCCCGTCCTCGTCCCCGTTCAATTCACACGTTACCTGTAGCCCCAACCAGGCAAGAGGGTCTGACCAAGGTGCGCGCGCAGGTCCCCCAAAGTCGGCTCCGCCTCCCGCAACTCCAGCGCCGCCGTTTGCTTCTGCACGCGTACCCGGAGCTTCATCGCGCCCCGTCCGCCCCCTCCTTCCTCACAGAGGAACCGAGGAGCCCCCTCAGCTAAAAAGGGGGGGGGGAAAGAGAGAGGCAAGCACGCCGGCGCGGTTCTGTTGTTGTTCTCCTCGCTTTGGGCTGGCGAAGCACCGCCCCCTTTTCCCCCACGCCCCCGAGATGGTATGAACTCCCCCACCCCCAGCTCACGTAATCACTGTCTATCAAGCAGTCGGTCGAATCCGGCAATCACCGACGCCTCTATGATTCCTTTACCCTCCCCCCTCCTCGCACACAAGAGAACGAGAGAAGTTAATTCCCGATCGATAACTTCCGCCCTCTGGCGCCCTTTTCCAAAATGCGCGTGCGCGTCCCTTGGCTCTATGACGCACTTGGCTATGTTAAAAACTTAGGCCCCGCGTGTCACGTGAACAGTCATTTGCTTTCCGCCTCCCCGGGAGGCGGCGCTGGGATTAATGCCGGCTGTCAATTGAAAAGCGCGGGAATGTTTGGAATGGGCGTTCTGAAGCCCTCTTCTGAAGCGAACTTTTTTTCCCCCCTTTTCCTTTTTTGTAAATATTTTAATATATTAGTAAGCGTTAGTTAACTGCGGCATCGAAGAAGTTGCCGATGCAAAGCTTATTTACCTGATGGTTTTGCGACGATATCCCCAGGGGAGAACTAGCTCAAGATTTTCAGAGGGGAGGCGGGGCATTTTTTCGGCAATTAAAGGGAAACTCCCCAGACCGACGGCCATGGTGCTTATGTTCAAGTAAAATGCATAATATGGACAGACAGTGCTCCTTTCACGGGGCTCTGTTTGGGACCTCAAGGTGGGTCTCATAGTTTAACACAAGAATTTCAGAAGACAGCTTCCAATAAAAAAGATTACTGAAAATTCATCAAGAAGGCTGGTTCTATTTTGTGTGGCCTGAGTTGGGGCAAAGGACGTGTGTAACAAGCTATGGCTGAAGTCATGATGCCAGAAGCTATGCAAGCAATTAAATACAGTAACTGAGAATTTGCTGTCCTTTCATTACACTGAAGGAGCAAAATTCCACTTTACCTAGGCATAACAAATTCAAGAACATTTCCTCAGTGACTAGGTAATTAATTCTCATCTTGTGATTAAGTACTGTATACTGTAATGTGCTTTCCAACAATGAAATGTAACTTATTTTTCTATCCACTGAAAGTATGGAAAGACAATTGGCAGTTTGGACAGCAGTGTTCTGGAAGGATTAACACATTTCACTGTCTGATACACTCAGTTTCAGTTCTTCGCTTCAGTGAATAATGTGTTGGGCAGGCCTTGTTCAGGGAGTCATGGCAAACCCCAGACTTTACTGTGATACCCTCTGCATGGCTCTGCCTTTGAAGTGTGTTCAAAAACAGTGCAGCCAGACTGTTGATCAAGGCCAGTTACAAAAAGCAAACATGTGAATCCCCTCGTACAGTGGTCCCCAACTTTTTTGACACCGTGGACTGGTTTAGCGTGCATGTGGGGGTTATGTCTGTGGGGGGGGAAGCATGTGGGGGGGCCTGCATGCAGGGGGTGTGCATGGGCATCTGTGCGTGCATGTGGGGGGGTGTCTGTGCATCTGTAGGGCGTGTGTACGTCCATGTGTGTAAACTTGTTGCCTGACAATCAACCAGTTAAATTAGCTTTGGAAAATAGAGAAACTAATTAAGAGAGATTTTACAGCATTTAATGTACACATTAATCAATTTCAAAAGAACTATAAGAATTTTTTTTTAAAAGTCTAATGTTGATCCTTAAAATCATTGTTTATTTTTAGAAATGTGAAGTGCCTTTGCTATTGGTAATTGTATTTTATGACTTGTTGGGACAACCAGTGGAATACAGAGCTGGAATATTGTTTCTCATTGGTATACAATTCTATACATGTCAACTCAGAATTAATTTCTAAAGAAGTGGCAGTATTAGTCTGTTTCAGCATATCGGCAAAAGTCAAGGGGAAAAAAGAAGACGGCAAAAGTCAAGGGGCAAAAAGAAGATGGGGGAAGGTAAAATACTGTGTTGTAGAACTCATTATATTTGTCAGTCTTTAAAGTGCTACAGTATTTTGCCCTTTTTGTTCCTTTGTTTTCTTTTTGTCCTCTACTTATGCCAACATACCCAGAAGCCATTTTAAACTTAGTGCAATTCATCTCCATGTGTGGCTTGTAATAGACTTGATAGCACATAATTATTATACAGTATTAAGTGTGGATAGGATTACAGCGCATAATTGTTCTCTTGTATTTTGTTGTTTACTTAAAGAAACTCCTCTCAAGTACAAGAGGGTATAAATATAATTATTTTTATTTGTTTTATCTTTGTTTAGAGTCATACTGAGAATTTGACCTGGCTCCAATTCAAAGCAATACTTGAAGTATACTTGAAGCAATTGATTGATGGTTCTGCAAAGATTAGCTCATTAATCAGTTGTCCTGTTCTCTGGGACAACAGTGGGAAAGCAATGGGCAAATACAAAATGGACTGACTCCCAGGAAGCACAGACTTGAGTTTACAAGAGCAGAGCAGGATAGTTGAGGTCAGGACACTTTGGAGATGGCTCATTCATTGTGTTGTTAATGGCACATAACAACAACAAACTAATAAGATCCTGATTTCAAGATATCATTCATTATTTTAATTATCTGCATACATTTCTGGGAATAGTAAGCAAAACAGGTTTTTGTCCTGAAACAGGTCTCTTATTTGGAAAAATATCTGTCCTTTTTCTTGCAAAACCCAGTAATCCCACCAATCATTGCTAAGACTCTTTGCCTGGTTCTGATATTTTGGCAATCATTGAACCAAACCAATATTTTGCATAATCCGGGCTCTTGATAAGACATAGCCACATGACATAATGAGCCAGTTAACAGTAGGAAGCCTCAAGCCTGGCTTATTGGTTATGAATAGACTGTAGCTAAAGAATCTTTGGAGCTTTGCGATGTGTGTTGTCAGAAAATAGATGCTTTATCTTCTCTAGTTTATTCCTCTCTCAACATACCAAAGAAACAAGAACCAACTCTGAGAATTAGATATTTTAATGTTTTATATTTTTGTTTTGTAGCATGCTTTAATTCTCTTGTACCCCACCTCAGGAAAAGTGGGGATGGAAATTTATAAATAAAAATAATGACTAATTTTCTGGAAAGAAAAATTATTCAGTCAGTAATGCCCCCAGAAATCATTTATAACATAACAGAAAAATAAGCAGTGATACAGCATTGAAGTAGCCACCATCAGTCAGAGAGCTTGAGAATGAAAAAAGGAAAAAACAGCACTTGTATGAATAATAAATGTTAGCAGCAGCAGCAGCATCCTAATTGTTAAGTACCTTTAATGAAAAGTTCCCCTCATCACTTGTCACCTGCCTTACCTCCAAAGGAGGAGAAAGATTTCAGATGTTGGTCTTTGTGAAGACATCAGCATCATCTTTGAGCCAACCAGTTTGCCACAGATCTGTGTGTTTGAATCGAATTTGCAGATGACACTAAACTAGGATAGGTAGCTAATACTGTACTCCAAAAGACAGAATCAGGATTCAACATGACGTAAACAGATTGACGAACTGGGCCAAAACAAAATGGGTTTCAACATGGAAAAATCTAGAATTGTACATTTAGGTAAGAAAAACCAGCTTGATAAATAGAATATGGGCGACAGCTGGCATGGCATTATACATATGAAAATTATGGGGGGTGGGTGTTCCTAGGAGACCACAGTCTTAACATAAGTCAACACTGTCATGTGGCAGCAAAGAAAACAAATGCAATACAGTACTCAGTTGAGTCAATGGATTTTTGGTATCACCTGACAGGACAAAGTTCCAAATAGAGTAGTCCTAGAACGAGCTGGAACTTTTAGCATGTATACATTATTGAAACAGCGCCGTCTACGTTGGCTTGGGCATGTCATGAGAATGGCTGATGGTCAGATTCCAAAAGATTTCCTGTATGGAGAATTAGTGCAGGGAAACCGCCCCAGAGGGAGACCACAGCTGCAATACAAGGACATCTGCAAGAGGGATCTGAAGGCCTTAGGAATGGACCTCAACAGATGGGAAACCTTGACGTCTGAGCATTCAGCCTGGAGGCAGGTGGTGCATCATGGCCTCTCCCAATTTGAAGAGACACTTGTACAGCAGGCTGAGGCAAAGAGGCACTCCCAAAACAAGCAAAACCAGGGAGCTGGACAGGGGACAGATTGTATTTGTCTTCAATGTGAAAGAGATTGTCACTCTCGAATTGGCCTTCTCAGCCACACTAGACACTGTTCCAAGACCTCCATACAGAGCACGTTACCATAGTCTTTCGAGACTGAAGGATGCCTACATGGAAGTCAACAGAAGCACTGATAGAATCCTGTTACTTAGGGTAGTAAGTCACACTAAAGTAGGCCCACTGAATCAATGGGGATTTGGTGAGTTAACTTCTGCATAAGCTACATTAATGTAAATAAACCAACTCTGGTTGCAACTTCTGACACTAAAGTAAGTCACAACTAGAGTAGGCCCATTTGAATCAATGGAACTAATGTAGGAGCTGACACTCACTAAACGCCCACTGATTCAGTGGGCCTATTCTAGTGCACTTTACTACTCTAAGCAACAGGATTTCAGCCAGTGTGTCCAGGCCACTCTTTTTTACTTCTACCTTTTAGCTTACCATGTCCAGTTCTGTGCATCACAGTTAAAGAAGGATATTGACAAGCTGGAATGCATTCTGAGGAACAATCAGAATGATAAAAGCCCTATGAGGAATAGCAGAGGGAGCTAGGTTGTGTTTAGCCAGAGGACGAAAAGATTGGAAGGCATTATTATGACAGCCATCTTCAAATATTTTAAAGGATGTCATACAGATGATGAAACAAGCTTGTTTTCTGTAGCTCTAGAAGGTAGGACCTAAATTAATGGCTTCAAATTACAAGAAATTTCAACTAAATATTAGGAGAAATTTCTTGACTATAAGAGCTGTTTGACAGTAGAATGGACTGCCTTAAAATATGATAGATAGATAGATAGATAGATAGATAGATAGATAGATAGATAGATAGATAGATAGATAGAAAGGTGGTAGACTATTGGAGGTTTTTAAACAGAGATTAGATGTCAGTATGTCAGATATGTCTTATGGATTTCCTGCTTTGGTGCAAGTTGGACTTGATGTC